ATGTCAAGGCAAAGCTCGTCGTAAAGAGCAGAGTCGTCAATCGTAGAGGCAAGATTATTTAAGTCGCCACGCACGGATGCCATCTCGGAGGCCATGCTGGCTTTGAATTCCCTCATTTCTTCCATAAACTCAATGAGAGGCGAGACTGTGTCGCCAACAGGGCCAGGACTAGAGCTGGCTTCCCTTAGCCTTCTCTCAACCGGTGGGTGCATCATCCATTATATGCACACTATGAACACAACTACGTTGGTTTCTGGTTGAGTAATCTTGGGCCAAAACAAGGATTGGCCGTTATCACAGCGATACTAACTACGTTGGATGCTTTTGATTGTGTATCTACCACGTAGATACGAATGAAAGTAGCTTAAACGCCTTGATTTAACTTGAAATTATTATTTTTTTTGCTCTGAATTTTTTCTTCGTCCGCTTCGAACCCACACGAGGCATGCAATGAACCCGCGCATGTGCCGTGCTATCTCATGGGATCTCCTGACTCGGTGCCATGTGATAGAATTGATATATTAGTAGCTACATTGAGTTCCTTTCTTACTTGATCAATTGTCACAGGAAGGGCCATATACTGAACTAATGCAAAATAATAGTATTTTGTATTTATATTATGGTATAGCATCTTCTAAACAACCCAAAAAAAACTAGCCTTAACTAGGTGATAACTAGTTTGAATGTTCTCATGCAATGCCTGGACTATTGTACTGACAATGTCCATGTGATAACATTGCCCTTCTGGAACATAGATCTATCTTTCAATCATATATGGTATACAGGTATATTCATACAATCCTATACGACTGTATCAAGAAATATATTATTCTGAAGAATATTTCAAAACCTGTGCTTATTTGCAAATATATACAATTATACATAATTCATAAAAAAGACACATTATGTAAAGAATGTTATTTTATTGTTTAGCAACAATAAGACGATTTCTATTAAAATGTTCACTTCCTTGCATTGTTTCATGAATATGAAAAAATTCACTTAACTTACCATTCCTCTGTTCTTCTCTCCAAGTTTACGGATTAATATTCGGGAGGTAACTCCCGCCATTTTATTTCTAGCGTGGAACTATGTATTTCATTTCATTATTTTCCATCTACCAAACTACCCAAACCGTACGCTTATACCTAAATTGTACGCCTGTATATGCGTATTTAACTATACGCGTGTATACGCGTATTTAGTATACGCGTGTATATGCGTATTTAGTATACGCGTATTTAGTATACGCGTGTTTAGTATGCGTGTATACGCGCATTTATTATGCCTGTAGTATATTTAATATCTGTTTATTAATCAATTGCTTTGCAGTATAGACCGAATTACACAATTGTCTCTATGTTATAAACTAGTTAAATAATCATTTACAATATAACAAGTTTATACAAACAATTATACTGGTCTACAATATATAACTATAAGATAGAAATTATATTATATATTTACAACTATAAAGATCTAATGTGTAAACTAGAATGATTACGTATATTTAATAGTAATAAAGTTGTGGAAGCGTTCAGTATTAGTTTTCACAATTTCACTAGTATTTGGCCTACGTAGGAAATAATCATGTTCATTAAAGAGCTGGGAAGGTCTGATTATGTTGTAGACTGGATTATTTTTACATGCTTTCTTCTTGGTTGATTTAATAAATCTTTGACACAATTGATCACGTCGATATTCCAGGCTTTCGAGCTTAGATGTCTGCAATGCTTCGTAATAAAATTTGTCAGGATATATTATAATCTTGAGTGCTCGCTTTTGAATCAACTCAAGATGAAAGGATAAGTAATCAGGAAGAGCTGCCCATACTGGGCATGCACACTCAAGTATTGACCGAATAACTGAGCTATAAATGGTTATAAGATCAGTGGAATCCAAACCAGCATTCTTCAATAATCGGAGAGCAAAAAGTCTGGAATTAGCTTTCTTTAAAATATGGTCAACGTGGATATTCCAAGTAAGATCATCTGACAGGTAGACACCCAAAAGCTTAAAGCTGTGAACTCTCTCAACGCATAGTCCGTTAATGAATATAGATTGGTCACATGGAATTCGGTATTAAAGAAAATTTATAATCATTTCTTTGCATTTCTTGGGGTTGAGCTCCATTCCACGAGTGGATGAAAATAAAGAGATTTCATCAACAACTAGAGGCGATATACTTACGATTTACGCATATATTCGTTGGAAAAAAACGTGTGTATACGCATTGAAACTGATAATTGATAGAATACACATTCGTTTTTAGCCCAAGTATTTTTGAAACGAATGGCCTACCATACATACATATATACATACATACATGCACACGTACATGCATACATATGCATACATGCACACATACATACATACATACATATTCTGGGTTAGTGCTAAACCTGGGTTAAAATCCTTAACCCTAGGTTAGCTAAACCTGGGTAAAAACTGTGCTGTTCAAAGCAGGGTTAGTGGTAGGGTTAGTTAAAATATTTAACCTAAGATTAAATGTATTTTAAGGACTAAATTGGATATAAGAATGTTTTCTATTGGTCAAATAACGAGCGTCAATACTTTACCCGACAAGGATATATTGTCAGTCAAAAGATTATATGCCATGAGGGCAAGGTCGCAGGGACGTTGTTTTGAACAGCAATTTCCGTGCATGGAATTTTGGGAAGATTCAAAATGAAAGGCCATTTTGTATGATAAACAATGTCGATGTGAAATAAAATCAAGCAAATTATAAACATTCTATTTTAAAATTTCAGGCATTCTTTGATTATTCAAAATTCAGGAGCAAATGTAGCCTTACCACTTGCTGCCAATCAAAAGAATCGAATTTTGGCATCCGAAACAAATATTTCAATTACGGCATTTCAATTTGTACGGTTGTATTCATTTATCGTGTATTGCATTGAAGTGAAGATAAATAAATCAATACATCAGCTGAAACGGAACAAAGTCAAACATAAATAATTCTTTGCTGTTTAAATTATTCGTAAAACCTTTCAAAAGTGTTTAACTCATGACGAATCATACGTGTTTGCGTGTTTCAGCTCTTTATTCATCCATTTTGAATCAAAGTTAACCCAGGATTAAAAAGTTAACCCACCTAGCTAGCAGGGTTAATTTTTTTATCAATTTTAACCCAGGGTTAACGCTAACCGAGCTTTGTGCAACGCAAATAAAAATTTAACCCTGGGTTTGGCATTTTTAACCCTGGGTTAGCGTTAACCGGCTTTTGAACAACCAGCCCCTGGCAAAGAAAAAAGTAAAAGAAAGGGCAAACAGAAAACATGCACTGTATGTAGAAAACCAAGGAAAGGCCATAAATTTGTCAAGGATTGTCCAAAAAACCAAAATAAATAAATCAAAATGTCATTGTTAATTGTAATACTTTTATAATATTATTTGTATATATATGTAGTTATTACCAGTTATGTACAGTTGATTTAAACTGAACCAAATATAGAAGGTGCAGTTATAATTCTCCACAATTATTACATCTGTTGTTGGTAAATGACTGCAAAATAGTTAAATTTAAAATAAAGTCTCATCCTATAAAGGATTAGTTTTGCTCACCCAGTTCGTCATGCCCAGTGAGGTCTCCATCACTTTCATGAAATGCTTTGCGGATGCAATGGTAAACACATGCTGGCAATGGTATCCTTTTATTTTGCAAATAACCATGAACAAGTCGGGTAAACTGTCTCTATGGAACAGCATGCAGAAATCTAAAAGATGTATAAAAGTACATCTATCATCTGATACAGCTATCAGATAGATCCAACAACAACAAACATATTGTTTGCAACAAACATTGTTTACAACAGTAAACTATCATCCATAGTCAATACACTGACACTATATTTCTCAATTTCTTATTCAAAACTGACCTATCCCCTTTGATTCAACTTGTTGATATTTCTGTCCACTTTGCATTTTATAATTTTTAGATGCAAGTTCCAGAGACCATCTGTTGACGCATACAGCATCGAATCCTGGGTGGTTCGTGATGCACAATTGTTCGTTGTTCATAGTTACATTCAATGCAGCAACACAGTCTTCAATTTCCCTGCAACAATGACACGCCTTTGCTTCCACTAAATATTCCACACTGCAGTAACCACAAGTGCACCTGAAAAATATTTTGTTTTATTATAAATCTATAAAACATCAAAACACATGTAGATGTAAAGACACAAGGCGGGGCAATATGGCTGCACATTAACTGTATGTATCACTTTTACTTATAGGCTATGCTGACTTACCAAGAAGAGAGTGCCATATTTTGCTCATGCAGTCATTGGTTCAACACGTTCATTTCCCTAGTTTGTTTTTCCTGTCCTTCTTATGTATTCTTCGACACATGCTTCGTCGGCAAGTGGTTCGTCCATATATGCCAACTTGTTGATGTTGTCAAACAATTCATCTTCGACGGCATACGAGGGTTCACCTTCTGCCGTATCATTTGACGCTGTTTCAACACATTCATCTTCCATTTCATAATCAGGGCAATCGTAGGAGCCTTCGCCGTCAAAAGAATTCGATTCTGAGCTTGACATAACATGTTTTTTCACAATATCTTCGTTTATTGGAAAACCAAAGTAAAAATACAATAGATTTCTTTACACTTGGCAAAACACGGTTCCTAAGGCCCAGGCCCCCGAGGACGACGGAGATTTTTGCAGATCGCTATTGTTGTGTTTTCTTGTCTTTATCTAAATCTTAGATTCATTCGGATTGCAAAGTATATATTTTCTATAAGTTCTGATATTACAAAGAGAAGCTAGCCTATTTATAATACATACAAACCCGGAAGTAACTAGCCGGATGTGAGATATACAACATCCTCCTTTCTTAAAAGATATATATATATATTTTTCTTTTCCTAAATTATATAAAAAAACTTATGATCTAAAATACTTATGCTGAAATTGTCTTAATCAATTGTTTTACTTTATCTTAATTATTCTAATTCTATTTAATGATATTATCTACTTATATATTAGTCTGTCCGGCTTCTTTACTATGCGACCTGAGCGTGTTCGGATTTCTGGCATCTCTTCCTGTCTCACATCACCCTGGTTCTGATTTCTGGCATCACGATTTATCGGTTCAGGTGTCTTCTGTATATCAGGCTTGATTAACTGTCTATTCCTCCGTAACTGAACTCCGGATCCATCCTCTGTAATATAAGAACGAGGAGTTGGTCCAAAACCAACTACTCTCGCTGGGCTCCACGTTTTGTTAACAGGTTCTTGAACTTGTACCGCTTGATTTTGAAAGAGATTTGGCTTCTCCTTCGAATCCCTGTTATATAGATTTACTTGTTTATTTTGTTGTGTTAATAACAAGTCTCTGGTTTCGTACCGATCGCTTGGTGGATGAATTTTTACTGGTAATGTTGACTTGAACATTCTTCCATTTAGTAGCTCTCCTGGAGATTTGAGTGTTGTACTTAACGGTGTAGAACGCAACGACAGTAATGCAAGACTAGGATCAGCTCCTGATTCCTTGCATTTCAACAGGATCTTCTTCACAGTTTGGACCTGTCTCTCAATGAAACCATGCCCCTTTGGGTAGTGAGGTGACGAAGTGACCACTCTAAAACCATATCTCTTCGCTAGGTCTTGAAATTGGGCAGAAGTGAATTGAGATCCATTATCACAAATGAGCGTTTCTGGTATGCCTTGTTCAGAAAATATCGATCTAACCACATTAACTACAGTGGTTGCTGTTAAACTGTTTAATTTCTTCACAAATGGAAATTTCGAGTAATAGTCAGCAATAACAATGTACCAGAAATTATTTACCTTAAACAGGTCTGCGCTCACAGTATGCCATGGTCTTGGCGGTACTTCGCTTGGAATCATGGGTTCCTTTTGCTGTGAATTCTGGAATTTCTTGCAGGCACAACAGGACGCCACCATACTCTCAATCTCTTTATATATACCGGGCCAATAAACGCAGGATTTTGCACGGAGTTTGCACTTCTCCATCCCTTGATGACCACTATGGATTTCTCGCATTATCTTCTGCCGGAGTGATTCTGGAACAATTATTCTACTGCCTAAGAATAGAAGTCCTTCTTGGATAGAAATGTCATCTCGGTTATTCCAGTAAGGCTTTACTGCTTGCTGTATTTTCTTTATGCTATCAGGCCACCCTTGTATAACTTGCTCGCTGAGTATTTGAAGAGCTCCATCTCTAGCAGTTTCTTCTTTATCTGTTGGAGTTCGACAGGTGTAAATTCTACTAGATGATGAATTTTCACACGCATTCCTGGGATTTCGTCTCCCTCCCTTGGTGACAGTCTCGATAGTGTATCTGCTATCACCATCTCTTTGCCTGGCTTGTATTTGATGATACAACCGTATGGTTGCAACCGTAGAAGCATTCTTTGAAGTCGAGGAGGTGCCATGTCGAGATTCTTCTTCTGGATCTGTTCCAAAGGACGATGATCACTTTCCACAACGAATTGCCTCCCATATAAGTAAGTGTGGAATTTTCTCACATCCATATATCACTGCCAATAACTCACGCTCGATGTTGGCGTACCTACTCTCAGCAGGGGTTAAGGCTTTCGATGCAAACGCAATGGGCTTGTTCTCTTGTAATAGAACGGCTCCCAAGCCTTTACTTGATGCGTCTACTTGTAGCACAACTGACTTGCTTCTATCGTAGTAGGAAAGTGTAGTTTCTGTGCTTATTTGACACTTGAGTATGTTAAAAGCTCTTGTATGTGACGGAGACCATTTGTAATCAACGTTATCCCGGATTAACTCTCTCAAAGGTGCCGTGTGACTCGCCAAGTTGGGCATAAATGGCGCTAAATAGTTGACCATTCCAAGGAACGTGTGAAGTTCTTTCTTATCTTTGGGTGGTTCCATGTTCTGTATGGCTATGACCTTCTCTGGATCAGGTTTGACTCCATTCGCGGTGTATACCATACCAAAAAAACTGCATTCAGCGGTCTTGATGATGCATTTCTCTCGGTTGAGTTTGATGCCAGCCATTCTTGTACGTTCCATTGCATCATGAAGATGTAGATCGTGATTTGACTCATCTTGGCCATGGACTGTGATGTCGTCTGCAATCCCAGCAGCACCAAGACAGTTCCGATAGACTTCATCGATCTTGAATTGGAAGACATCTTGGCTCATTCGAAGACCAAACGGCATTCTTAGGAATCTATATCGACCATTTGGTGTATTAAATGTGGTTAGATATGATGATTCGTCATCTAACTTAACATTCCAGTATCCATTACGAGCGTCTAATTTGCTGAATATCTTAGCTCCAGCTAACTTTGGGGTGATTTCCTCTAAGGTGGGTGTTGGATAGTGGTCCCGCATAATTGCTTCGTTCAGGTCTTTGGGATCCAAACATATCCGAAGCCTTCCATTAGGCTTCTCCCTTATAACTATAGAATTTACCCACTCGGTTGGTTTTGTTACCTTTTCTATTACACCGCTCTTTTCCATCTCGTCAAGTTCGAAATTTAGTTTATCTACCAGCTCTAATGGTACTTTACGAGGCGCATGAATAACTGGTTTAACTTTAGGATCTAGGGTTATATGGTATGTGTAATCTTCAAAACATCCAACTGACCCGTCAAAACATTCTGGATACATCTCGATCAGATTCTCTTTATCCTTTATACGAGGACGGTCTGTGATTGGCACAGAGGGTTTAATATAACTTCTAGACCGACTTTGTTGCTGATTTGCTATCTTTGCTTGATCCGCAAATCTAATACTCTTAGTGGACTTAACTTTCTCTTCACTAGGCCCCTGGGCAACACCTTGAGGGATGTTTCTTCCTCGTACCACTTTTGTTTCCAGCGCACAATGGAGTGAAACCAGTCCGAGGGCTCTACACGCTTTTATTCCCAATATAGCTGGACCTACTGCATCAGTTACATAAAAAACACAATTAAATTTTCCCCTTTTGTGCTGACATGGTATTAGTACTTTTCCAAATTGGGTAATCTCAGATCCCCCATACGCAGTTAAGATAACTTCACTTCTTTGTAGAGCACCGTCCCTGGGCATCCCTTCAGCATTAATTAATTCAGGATATAGAACACGAAACAAATGAATGGGCAACACATTACTCTGAGCACCCGTATCAACTTTGCATTTTAAATTTATATCCCCATTGTTCTTACGGTTAACACGCAGGGTAGTAAATACTTCCTCACTCATAGTATTATTATCCTTTACCACACTATTTATTTCAATAGTGCCAATTGTTGGAATATCGGCATACAGGTCTTCCTTACTTTGTTCCTCCAGACTATTAATGAACTTTTTATTTTTTCGGTGTGGCGACTTTGATCTATGTTGGCTTTTAGCTGATTTGCATACTAATTGCCAGTGATTTAATTTGCCACAATTTCTGCATGTAGTACCATGGGCTGGACAGTTCCCTTTATGTGGTAGCTTATGACTTTTACCACAATTCCTACATTGTATAATACTATTTTGATTTTTATTATCAGCGTTTAATTTCTTGCGACTAATGTTGTCAATTTGCTGAGGATTTCCTTTATTTTGATTTGATAATGAATTCATTTGTCGTTTTGTTGCTTCGTAACTTCTAGCAATATCTATGGCAGTATTTAATGTTAATTTTTCATCGCGTCCGATTAAGGATTTCTGAACTTCAGGATCATTTGTACCCCAAATTAGTTGATCTAATAATCTATCCTCGAGCTCTTCATTGCCACTGAACTTGCATTTAGCTGCGATATTCTTTATCTTGGCAATAAAATTATCGATTGACTCACCTCGGTCTTGTCGCATACCTTGTAAAGTATACCTGTGAATTCGATGATTTGTCCGTGGTTCCAAATGTTCCATAAATCTATCGAGAATCTTTGCTGGGTCTTTTTTGTCTTCCCCGTCTTCAAAGCTCCAACTATTGTAGATGTCGAGACCCTTCTCGCCAACCCATAGCAGGATATAGCTGACTTGTTCCTCTCCTTCAGCGTCTTTGAGTATACTTTTGAACATCAGCTCACACTTTTGCTTGAATTTGCTAAAAGCTATGGTCGAGTCGTCAGCTTCCCAATCCATTTGAGGTGCTGAAAACGGTGCTTTGAACGCCATTTTCGAGTGTCTTATTTCAAAAATGTTTATATCCAATATTTTCTTCCGTCTTTATCGCTAGTGTCAAAAAATCGCTCACGTTAACAAGCTGGGGCTTTTATCCAACCGTTGCCACCATGTTGTGTTTTCTTGTCTTTATCTAAATCTTAGATTCATTCGGATTGCAAAGTATATATTTTCTATAAGTTCTGATATTACAAAGAGAAGCTAGCCTATTTATAATACATACAAACCCGGAAGTAACTAGCCGGATGTGAGATATACAACAGCTATGTTTAGATGTAAATATTTCCGAAACTATTTAACTATAACAAAAATGGTAATAGGACTTATAAGTTAACTTTTCAAGCTCTTTTCAGATCCATAAAGATCCCACAAGTGATATAGGCACTTTTAGCATTTTGCATCATTATATGGGTGAATTATTAGTGATCCAATTTTATTCATTGGCTAGCTCCTGCTGCTGTGCATTTACCATATTCACAGTGGCACACATTGGGATTTTCCTATAGATGGAAGATTCTTTAAACGGTCTGCTTTGAGACATTCATGATGATTGACTTTGTAAGTGGTCCTGAATTGTTTTTTTCTCTTGCTTCTGTTCCTTCAGGCAGACATATTGGTGGCACTCTTCCCCTGTAACACATGCATTTTGCAATTGCAGGATTTGATGAAAGACAGTACATATTACACATTTTATTTTCCCCTTGTGTCCTGGTACACATAGAATTGATTTGTCCTCAATTGTGTTTGGTTAATTCGGTTTAACAATAACAGATGACTGTGTTTCAGATCCGACAAGTACAGAAGCATCAGAGCTATGACTACACATATTGTGTAAATTGTGACTTTTTGGCGAAGAGGACTCCTTGCAATGTAACTAAACAATTGAAGTGTTTATTCAAGAGCAACAACAACATTATTCAAATGATTGAAAATCCCACGCATGTTATACATGGTTCTTCTACCTTATTAGACTTAATTGCAACAAATCGTCCTTCTGTGATAAGCTCATCTGGAGTCCTTTCATCTGGTTTAAGTGATCATGACATGATTTATTGTGTTCGTAAACTGAACTGTATGAAATTACCGGCTGTGACGAAAACATTTCAAAATTATGCAAACTATGAGCCTGAAAAGTTTAGTAATGAATTAAAGCATGTCGATTGGGAGGAGAATGATCATGCCACTGGGAATAATTTGGATAGTCTGTGTTCTGTAGATCGGCTTTGGCTGTCTTTAAAAAACTCCTTTTTGGCTGTTGCTGACAAATATGCACCGTTGATTAATAAAAGATGTCGTGGTATAGAAACTCCATGGATGACCAGACAAATTAAAAAGTTGATGTACCAGCATGATAACCAATTAAGAGTTGCTAGGCAATCACGCTTGGATGAGGATTGGAAGCTTTATAGATCAATACGAAATCGGGTTACTTTGCAAATTAGAAGGGCTAAGTGCAATTATAATAAAAAGATTATCCATGAACATAGCGATGACCCTAAAAGTTTCTGGAAGGTGATGAAAAAGATTTTACCTAACAAAAAGAAAAAGAACATCTCAACTGCCATGAACATAGATGGAAGGTTAGTTTCTGACAATGTTCAAGTTGCAAATGGCTTTAACTTCTATTTTGCCAAATCTATTCAAAACCTCATAGATTCGCTCGGCTTTTTTCAACGAAATGAAAGTTCTTCGAGCTTGGAATTTTTGATGAACTCTCTAGAAAAAAATTCTTTAAGTTTACACCAGTTACAGAAAAATCGACCCTTGAGTTTTTGCACAAATGTAAAGTGCGTAAAGCAACTGGAATTGATCAAATACCAGTCCGTCTTCTGAAAGATTCGGCAACAGTTATATGCGTCCCCGTGACAAGGATTGTAAATGCAAGTTTAAGAACTGGTCAAGTTCCAGCTGATTGGAAAACGGCAAGGGTGGTTCCATTGTTCAAATCAGGTAAAGCGGATGACTTTGACAATTATCGACCGATTTCTATACTACCAATAGCTTCAAAACTTTTAGAAAGAACTGTTCATAGTCAGTTTTACACGTACTTCGTTGAAAACAACCACCTGAATCCTAACCAATGTGGTTTTAGAAAAAAGCATTCCACCGAGACAGCAGCTATATCTTTTTCGGACTTGATTTGTCGAAATATGGATCAGGGTCTCTTAACAGGATCGGTTTTTGTAGACCTTAGCAAGGCATTTGATACAATTGATCATCAGTTGCTATTGGATAAATTACGAAACTATGGAGTAGAAGATCTTGAAAATGCATGGTTTACAAATTACTTATCGGATCGATCACAGATAGTTACTGTAGGAAATGGAACTTCTCAGCCGTGTGAAGTGCCTTCTGGAGTGCCGCAGGGATCAATTTTGGGGCCTCTTCTATTTGTGCTATTTGTGAATGATCTTCCGAATGTAGCTTCAAAATGCAGTGTTCTTATGTATGCGGATGATACAGTGATATTTTACGCATCTAAAGAAGTCTCTGAAATCAAAATGATATTGAATAGAGAATTATCTGAGTTATATGAATGGCTTTCGAAAAACAAACTTTTTCTCAATGTGAAGAAAACAGAGTGTCTGTTATTAGGCACTGCATGTAGACTTTCTAAAGTCGATAATTTTACCATCAGTGTGGGAAATTTTGTTGTTCGTCGAGTGACTGAATTTAAGTATTTGGGTGTTATTATGGATGAATGTTTACATTGGAAATCGCAAGTTGATGCAATTTTCTCCAAAGTTAGTAAACGAATTGGTATGTTAAGGCGAATTAGGAATTATATCACGTTAAATGCAGCAGATTTAATGTATAAATCTTTTATATTACCAAATTTTGATTATTGTGACTCGGTGTGGAGTGGTTGCAATAAGGTTGATGCTGAACGTCTTGAGAAATTACAAAACCGTGCAGCCAAGGTTGTTTATTCATGTAAATCAAGTGATAATGCGATAGCTTTTCTGAGATGGCAACCATTACATAAGAGACGGGAAGGGCACATGTTAAACTTGGTTAAGAAATCCTTGAACAGAGAAGTGCCCCAATTTCTGATGAACTATTTCACTTTTAATCGTGATATTTGTACTCGCCAAACTAGGCAAAGTAATCAGCTTAACCTACCAAAGGTGCGGACGGAGGGTGCAAAACGATCCTTTTACTATAACGGATGCATAGTGTACAATAATTTTAGAAAGTAGGTTAACCATGTGTCTTTTGGCACAAATGTATATATGTATATATTCGTTATTTCTTAGTAATTCTCTCTATGTAACATAATTGTTATTTTTTTATTGTAATTGGAGGACCCCTATTGATACCAGCATGTTTCTCAAGCTGATTGGGTTATCCTGCTTAAATAAAGGTTTATCTATCTATCTATCTAAATGACAAGTACTGATAAGTACTGATATTTGTCAATTTCAGTACTTGATTCATCACTGTTATTCGTACTATTACTGGTCATATTAGCACGGTTAATAGAATGTACATGGTTTGGAGACTAAATAAAAGTACAATACAACTCATTAACTATGTTATTGTCCACGTTTATGCAAAAAATGGTTCCTTTCTCGTCACGTGTCTATTGTATTTTAGCCAAACGTACCAATGGCATTCGTCTTGCTAAGCTCATCAACCTTGACTTGAAAAATATGTTAATTATAAGATTGCTATTGGTTTATCTGTGCAAAATACAATAGACATGTGATGCGAAAGGAACAATTTTTTGCATAAATGTGCCTCAACATAGTTAATGAGTTGTATTGTAGTATTATATGGTCTCCAAACCATGTATATTTTATTAACTGTGATATTAGGCACTTGCATATTAGGCTGTGCACTTTCTGTAGACAATGCATCGTTTTGTTGTTCGATTACAATATCTCTTTGACATAATCCTAATATATTATGTAAATGTTAACAAAATACAACAAATCAAAGCTGGCTTTAACAGTGTTTCCACTATGTTTTCAGTATTTTTATCCATAATTCCAATTTTTTTAAAATTTTCAAGTGGATACCTAGTGTAGTCAACAAAATTTTAATTGTTGTCTCTTCCTGTGTATTCAATGCTTCATATCTTTCATTGAGAGGATTATTCACTGCACATTGTATCACTGCACATTCTGGTTTTATCACTGCACAAATTGGTTATCACTGCACACTAAAGTAGGGATGATGGATTATATATTATAGAATATGTGAATGCTGTAAAAATTTTGCTATTCACAACCTTGAAGAGAGATCTCTCTGACACAGTTCACAAGTATAAAAAGAAAGTGCCTCAACCTTTGCAACCGTGCCTCAACTGTGCAAGCAATTTACAAATAGAAAGTCCAAGGAAGATGCCATCAAACGTCATGAAGACAGAAAAGCATTTGATGGACACTTTTCCCTAGCTGCAAGTGTATTTAACTAATTTAAGTACCTAATGAAAGCAATTAGTCAACTATTTCATTACTATATTCACTTTATAGTGGAAGAACAAATACAGCAGCAAAATTACTTGGCTGTTCAAGAAGAAGATATGCAACATCAGTCAAGTATTCGCAAATGTACAAAGTGTAAAGCCCCTATGAAAGGACATAAGTGTAGCTAATGCAGTATTTAAGTGGCAATATAGGTTTCATGGGCGGTGTCAGATTTTGCTTCAGCCGATCTGAAATGGAGAGATGTAAGGTGCTTATGTGGATCTTACCTTGCGCTGTACAAATTGCTTTATGGCTTCTAGAATTGGTACTCGTTATGAGGTCACACAAAGCAAACATGGTCAAGGTGGTGCATATGACCCAAGGTTTGGAGGCGAATATAGGCAACTTCTACTCAACAGACAAAAGTGATATATACATCAAATTAGCCCTAAAAGTCTGAATAATTTTTAAAGGCAAGAAAAAGGGGTCGAAAATTTCGTTGCAGTAGCACTTTAAAGGAACTTAGCTACCCTATACACACTCTAAAATTCAATATTTTGGTGTGTATTCTCTGAATATATT